ATATATATAAAAAAATAAAATATGCACTGAAGCAACATTCACAAATACCCAGTTGTCTCAATTGTCTGTGTGTACAGTATAGTACATATATACATTCACTGTGACACAGGACATCTCCATAATTATACCTTCACGGGTGCTTTGGGCTGCCTGGTTAACTTCAGTGCCTGTGAACAGCAAACAAAACAGTCACTTTTTTGTATTCTTAAAAGACAACCAACAACACAAGACAAGATTTTTATTTATAAGGGGCAACAAAATGCTGCATGTACTTCTGGGAGGCTGAGTGAGGAGTCAGCATGCAGCTGACAGGCCACTCTGGGGTTTGTGATGATGTTTTTATCCCTGATAGCCCATCACAACCTCCTTATATACAGATAGCCTTAACAGAGGAACCACAAGGAATATGGCTACAGTGCTAGTGGAAGGAAGTGGAGGTGGGTCTCAGATGTCTTTTAGAAAGCAACTATTTGGACCTCACTCAAACCACTTGTGGCACAGATACAAGAGCTTCCGACCCACTTAGGGAAATTCCTGCCAACACCTTTGTGTTCCCTGGCCTCCTTCCATATGGCTCGAAGCCTGCTCAGAGTATAGTCACTGCTGCAGTGGTGGATGTCACACACCTCTGATGTTTATACCTTCGTTTCTGAGAAAAGGGAAGAATAAGCCAAAGTCCATCAGTCCAGAGGTGATTTATGCCAGGGGACACCTGACGTCTTTGTAGCTCTAGTCTACTCTTACTGAGGAGGAGAGAAACCACATGCCTTTATTTGATCGCAGGGTCCAGCTCTGTGTTTCCCACAGGGTTGGCCAACTATGGTAGCTGAACTATTTATTCAGTGTGTGACAGAAGTTCAACTCAAATTATAGGTGATCGTGCTTCTAGTTTGTCAGGAAGCAGCCTCTTTAACTTAGGAGGCAAATGTGACAGGCTTAAAAGGCGTTAGGTTTTCAGCTGCTCCTGTATACCGATGTGGTTCACTGTGGAAGATGCCTGTTGTTGGTGTGCTCTGCAACAAAAAAGCTCAGTGCTTTGTTGTGCAGGACGAATCGGCCTGAATGAGAGGAAAATTTGGGAAATTTGCAAATTCCTGAAATTTAGAACCTTGTTTTCCTTAGCCTTTTGGGTGAAGTGCCCTGACAGACTGGCATTTGCCTGTTGAGTGAGAGACTTATCATTTCCGGAGGGTTGGCTAAACAAGCAATTTTCAGTCTGAGAGATGTCTGATGGGTCTTCTTATTGTAGATATTAACCTTTAATATTGTACATTTAAAGCTTGTAAGCACTGCTTGAAAAACGCTCCAGCACAAATGTAAACCCTTAAAAAAACCCAAACCTTTAAAAATAAATAGGCTATATTCCCTTCAGAAACACCAGCTTTCAGAAACACCAGCATCTAACTATTGTTAAATCTAGCCGTTTGAGATTAGTCTTTTCGATATTATTCAGCAAGAGACTTTGGAGAGAGACATCATTCCACATTTTGTTTGGGGAAACAATTTTTTAACTTTGTAGTTTGGCAGATTCTGCTGCCATATTTACAAACTAGAAATACCTTAGTGTAGATGAACCTCTAAATATTTAAATTCAATTTCATACAACCAGATCACATGTACTATCATAATTAAGTAAGAATGTCACTGCAGTTGACTGGATAACTGTCTCCCCCTGCAAGAGAGATGCCAAAATGAAGCCAAGGTGTTTATAGAAAATAAACATCAAGGGTGATGATGACATGTTTATTTTCAAAGTGGGAGACCATTATCCAGTCACAACATTCACTTCTATTATACTTATTATAACTATACCAGACCCAACCTCATTGATTTTTTTCAAAGAGTAATTAAAATAACATTTGTGAATAATACAGAAGACCAACTGAAGTAACTGCTGTAACAGAACAACAATCCCCCAAAGTGGTTCTACGGTAGCATTACAGTCTGATTAGCACAGGAGGTTTATTTGATGCTTAATGAATAAGAAAATAGTGCTGGTGAACTGTAAATCTCTCAGTACTGGTTGACTTTTCTGATGCCTTGTTTAAAGGCTGTGTTAACTTGCAGCAACTGACAGCAGCCCCTAAAAGCCATTACCACCCCTAAGGATCAGGGAGGTCTGGATGAGCTCCAGCCCCACTCCTGTCTTGGCAGCAGAGAGCAGTTAGATGCTGAAGAGAAGCCAGCATTGCACGTATCGCTCTGTCACCAGTAGTGTCAACTTTAGGCTATCTTTCTGCAGGAATAGCATGGAATTTTCTTTACACAACCTGTAATGTCTCCTGATTAATTTCTGATTTAAAAAATCATGACTTTCAGACTGATGTAGAAATGACATAGGATTCTCAAATTTCCATTTTCGGATGCTAAGATAAGTATATCTTAACAAGGTCTGATTTCTGGACTCAGTTCCTGAAAATTGAGAGTTTTCCTGGTTTTTACAATTCAGGTAACCAAAAGTGGAGCCACATAAAAATCACTGATTTGGGGAATTTTAGCATTCAAGTTAGCAAGGTGACTTTAGTGGAGTGAAGCTAGTAAAATGGCAGCCTGTTGGGTTTTGCTGAAAATTGGAAACATGGAAGTTATCAAAAAAAATTTCTCCACTGACAAGTGGAGAATGCAGGGTACTGGTGGCACTGGGCTGCCCACAGTTGGTCTCAACCTTCACCTAAAATGGCTGTCAAAGACTGCTCAGTTGCCACAGCTTCTTGATCCTTTTTATCTCAGAATATTAAAGCCAGCATTAAAATCAGTTGCATGGACTAGCTTTCTGTGAGGTGGTTACTACTGTTCTGAGAACTTGGCTAAAACCATTGCAAGTATTTCGTATAGATCACAGAATGGCTGTCAGATGTCAATAGCTTCAATTTGTACTGAAATAAGCATAATTTGAATCAGTGATGTCGATGCAAAAACCTCTAGGTTATAGTCTATAATCCTACAAGCTATCCCATGCCATAATTTTGGCATGAAATGTGATGCACCAGACTCCTGTAGACTTCTTGCTAAAGGGTGACCCAAGTAGAAAAAAAAATAAATTGAGAAGTTTTCATCCTGCTTCAATTCAATTCAGAAAGTGCCCTCATTTTACCTGATTCCCCCAGCTCCCATGCCAGTGGACAGATCTTTGTCACTTCTCCATAAGGGAGATCCAAAGCTGTGATTATTAGCTGAAGATGGAGCCATTCTTATTGGGCATAATCTGAAGTAATAATTTGAATGAATTCATAATTTAAAAGAATTCATGATTTGAACTAACTGTAGAGGTCTAACTTCAAGATTTGAACCTTTTCAGAGCCAAGGAGGATAAAGTTCAGCATTTTTAATTTGATCCTACTGTGACTATCACTGTCATAAAGGAAGTAAAGAAACAGAGAAATCCCTACCATGGGATCTCCAACAAGAAATCTGAGGAATTTAAGACGTATTTAGGTATTTTTTTCCTCATAGCACACTTTCCATTATAAATCAAGACCAGAAATTCTTACCTTTTGCCTAGAAACCATCCAAGATTTTATTGTTGGTACCAACAGACTGCCAAGAAGAATCTGAGCAGGATGATAGATGAGTAAGGGAACGGAAATTAAGGACAGGTGCTCATAACCCGCGAATACTATTTTCAGCATTGGAATCCCTGCAGGCAGAAGAAGAGGAGAAAGACTCTCAGCTCAGACTTTGAGCAAAGCATTTTATGTTGCATTGATATTTCACCAAAAAACCAAACAAACCAAAAGAAACAAAATGAAGACTCAGAAGTTTTACACAAAAAAAACCAACCCAAACAAACCAGCAAGAACATGAACAAAAAAAAAAAACACGTCAGAGAAAGTTCTGTGGCAGAAAGGAGGGAGTAGGGGAATGCCATAAAAGATCTTTTCTAATTGTGCTAATAGCTGTCAAACTCCAAAAAGAAGACTTGATATAAAATACATTCTGCTATAGCATGACTTGGTTGCTGAGCATAGGTCTTTACCGCGTATTTACTACTTCCTCTCACTGTGCTCTCTTTCATGTTTTCATGATTGTCCTCCATCCAACCTGCCCAACTCCTTTCTTCAGTCTGTTCACCACTGGAGGAGGGTTGCGTTTTCCTGGCATACTCCCTGCCAGTTGGTGAGTACCCAAATGACAGCCTTCCCTGCTTTGACTGATTCATGTAGTCAAGGTAGACAGTCAAGTACCCTGCAGGTGAGCGCTTACGTGTTAGAGAACAAAACTCTCTGCTCTACCTGTATGTTTCAGAAGAGCTACAGCATGCAAGAGAAAAGGTTTAGTGAACTGAGTGAGCAGTACGAAGTGGTCACGCCTCTGAAGAGTTAGGGAGCAGCTGGAGGACAGAAATTGCTAGATGCTGGAAGAAGTGAGCTTTAAGAGCTAGACATGGGCCATTTTTCCTAAGAGCTTGAATTTGCACTCAACAGTCCTAATTCTATTAGATATCTCCATGCATAATCTTCCCACTTGATGATGTGATATGTAAAATTAAATTTGATTTACTTTTGCAGTAATGAAACCGATTATGTTTACTTTGAATGTTATTGTTCAAAATTATCTGTTTAAATCTTGGAACTTTGCTACCATGCTCCACAAAGCATAGGTGTGGGCAAAACTTGCAACCATCTCTGTCTTGCTTGACCAGACATTTGCACAGCCACCACCAAAAGCAGCTGCGATTCCTCAGGAGCCCCCTGAGAACCTTACTTTCCCCCTCATCTTAAATGTCATTCTAGGAATCTTCCGCCAGTATCAACTTTGCAGCGAAGCAGACTATACAGTTTTCACAGAGCTCATCTGTCTATCTCCTTTCTTAGTGATGACAAAAAGCTGAGCATTGTGCCACATGCCCTCTGTTCCCCCATTAATAGATGTTTCAGATCAGCCAAAGTTGCTATGTTTACATAAACTTTGTCTATGTCTTGGATAAATTCCTGTTCTCAGCACTCTTACAGGTTTCCCGTAATAAAAGTTGCCTCCTCCCTATGTGAGGAAACAGCTTATTTGTTGAATATTTATGCTCCACCAGTGCCCCATTATTGCTGACATATGTCAAGGCTTGCTGAAATCTTCATGATGTTTTCACGGCACCATTTCTTGTAATTATTTTGATTAGCTTCATCACATTACACCACTAACAATCTCATCCCCATCCTAGTAGCCTCTACTAATGTGGATATTTCCAGGGAAAGATTAAATCAAATAAATAAAGGTTTGCATGCTGAATTTCAATATTATAATTACCTTCAAAACAACATCATGGACCTATCACACAATAGGGCTGCTTATTGTTAACACTAATTTCTGGGGCTTGGGAATAGACAGTATTTGGATGGAAATTAAATGGGCATTTGCATTATATTAAGGAGTGTAATTTACTTCAAATGCCCATCATATTGTTTTTGGAAACATCTAAAGGTTTTATTGCCTGTTTCCAAGTCTCAGCTTGACCCTTGTGGGTCCTTTTCTGTTCTCTAACCACAGAAATATAAACTAGAGTCCCACGCTATAAACATGCTATATTTATGTTCGTAAGACACATAACACCTGGTGTTTTGGTAGTGCAATTTCATCCATAGATCCAAAAACACTTTAGTAAGCTGAACAGGACTCCTACAGAGAATCAGAGAACACTAAAATGACTAGCCTAAGATCACACAGAAAACTAACGGCAGAGATGTGAACAGAATGGATCCAAAGTGACTGAGACATGCTTTAAATTCCTGTACGATTTCTGAACTGAAGGAAAAGATGAGAAATTCCAGCCTAAAAGGTAAATTCTCTAGAGGAAAGCTATTTCAGTAAACTAGGAAAAGAAAATTAAAGTTGTCAAATATAAATACAAAATACTATAATTAGTGTGACAGTGTAATTAGATCACTGAGTGGAAAGAGGTTCTTAATTCACAGCTTGTTTAAATACATGTCACAACAATAGGTTCCTGTAAGCCACTAATGTGCAATTAAAATTCCTGTTATTTACCAGGAAAAACTAACTGGTGAAAACAAGAAATAATAATAATTTTTTGCAGGTAAGCATTTGTTTAATGGAAAGAAAAAGCCCTGTTGCCTTTTTATGCACTTTCTGATTTTTATAATTCCAACTTTGCCAGTATGCAACCCTCCCAGAAAATATTTCATGACAGATACAGTCACAAATGCCTGTGTCAGTAATATTACCACAAAGCCAAACAAAACAGCATGGGTTTTATTTATTTTTAAAAATGTTGTCTGAACTTTTTCGTAGCAATACATAGTAACTGCAAGCATCAGTATGACTGCTAATGTTTTCCAAATACATAAAACTCATGCAAATTTCTAATTAGGAAAAACATATTTTAATAGTTACTTTTCTGTCTCTTAAAAAAATTAAATAACTGTGTGTGTATATATATATAAAAAACCACTTAAAAAAAAAAGAATACACACAAACAAAATGAAAACTAAATCTCAGCCAAAGGAAGAAAAATGACGTTATAATGCCTGGGCTGATACTGTATGCTGTATCTTAGCCTGTAATGCATTTTCAAGATGAGATTATGAACTAGCACTAAGAGAAGCTGTAACAGAAACACTGACTGAAACAGTAGTGACATGAACAGGTGCTGCTATAACAAAACTAATAAACTGAGTGAGATGAGTTTAAATCTTTCAGATAGATAGCAAGGAATGAAGGTGCTAAGCAAAATGGATATGGTTATCTTTATTTTGGGCTGTCCACTCCTCTTTTCCTCATCTTTTATAAGCATATTGCTTCCAGTGCTAATGGAGTATGATAGCTACACTAAGCCTAAGATAAATAAAATTTTGCACAGGATTGAATCACATATATTAAAACCCAGACCACTACCTTAGTCTTAAGTTTCCTCAAAGTACACAGTAGCTCCTCCTTCCCCCTGCCCCCAAATATTGCTAGGGTATTTATTTGCCATCTGGAGCATTAAGGCTGCATTCACGCATATAAAGAATAATGCCTGTAAGAATTTTTCGTTTTGTTTTTACAGAGCCATTAATCATGCTTATCTGCATTTCAGGGTAATTGGACTGATTTCTATGGGTCTTCATCCTGATTGACACTGAGGAGGAACACTAGCATTATCAGTTTATATACAATCTTTTCGTTAAGTTTTAAGACTGCTGTCATGGTCTGAAAGCTCATGCCACAAACATCCATTCCTGTTGCTGCGGTTTATGAAGTTACAGGCTTCCAGCAGCTTGGTTCAACTCCTCTGCCAAAGACCCTCACTCACTATGTATCACGAGAACTGAATGACAAAGTGCTCCTCTGTGGTTTGGTGCCAACTTGGGCAGCTTTGCTCAAAGTAGGAGCGTAACAAGCTCTTGAGTCGCCAAAACCTTTTAAAAAGCCTTATTGCATGAATGTGTGTCCAATTCCTGGATCAGAGCTGACCAAACACTGTGACAGACCCAAGTCAGGGTTGTATCCCATTCTCCTCCTAAGAAAGAGGAAATGTTGTACCAAACTGGGTGAGAAAACAGCATCTCACCTGACCAGGACTACAGAGAGCTGTAGCAGAATGGAGGAAGCACTGAGATCATCCCACAGATATCCCTTACAAACAAGATCATTGGTATTCCCAGCTTTTTACCCTGAATTTCCCTCTTCTCCTGTTTTTGGTTATGTTTCTCCTACCAGTGCTCCCCCGTGTTCCCATCTCTCCTCCTTGCTCTTTGGCACCAGTATTCAGAGGCTCTTTTTCTTTTTCTGTTTGTATTTTCTCCCTTCCTCTTTCCTCCTCTTCTCCACTCCCATGCTTCTAGCCAGCTTGGCTGTGCTTCCCAAGACCTTTGATTCTGCCCACTTGCAGCAGTGTAAATTTTGGGTACTTCCACTAAAATCACTAAGCTCCACTAAGTGCAGTGGGCACTAGAATCACCACTGCAACTGAGAGAAGTGAGTTAGGCCTGTGATGCAGAGTGCATTTCATTTTTCTCCCTGTTTGTGTCCTCAACTCAGCCCATTTCATGTAAGAACTTTTGAAACCTGAGGAAGAGCTAGCAAGAGAAAAGCCCTTTACCTGTGACCTTCAACAACGGCAAGGAAGACTGAGAGGACTGCTCTTACAATCTGGTATAGGAAAGTCCTGTTTGCTCTCCATTGCTCCAGGGTATCCCAGTTAGGCTCCAAGGCTGTGGTTTATCAGCCCTGGTCAAAGGCCACTGTTTCTCTAGTAGCCTGCGCAACTGAAGGCTATTTATCCTTCCTCCAGCTTTGCACCCAGTATAACCTCCATGTCCTCCCCTTTCCCTTTTGCCACTTTCACATTTTGTAGTCACCTTCTTAAAAGGCCCATGAAAATATTATGCTGCACTTCACTACATTTAGTTAACTGTAAAATAATAATAATAAAAAAATCCTAAAAGATTTGAAAGTATTTTTAAGAAAATTTAAATATAGGACTCTCTTCATCTAGCTATCACTGCAGTAATATAAATGAAGCAAATTAATTTTAATGCTCCAAGGTACTGATTCTGTGTCACTGTCACTGACAGGATCCAACTAGACTTTATGAGATGGCATTTGACTTTATGGAAGTAAGCACTATGCACGCATTTACAATTTTACAGGGACTTTAAGCTGTCATGCTGAAAAATGTTTATAAAACATTAATCAAAAAAT